TCTTCATTGCATCCACACTGCAGAGTTAATCTGGTTTGACACCACTTTAACCGCCCTTGCTCCATGCTACGGAATCCTGGGAATTCGCTCTGGTGCCCAGCCAACTACAATTCGCAGAATTCCCTATTCTGTATTTATAGATCCAAAACACACTGCAGAAACAATCCAGTTTGAGACCACCCTGGCTCAGTGCTAGGGGATCCTGGGAATTGTAGTTTATTGTGGCACCAGCGCTCTCTGACAAAGAAGGCTGCATGTCTCATAAAACCACAGTTCCCAGAATTCCCTAGCATTGAAGCATTGAAGCACTCTTAAACTGGATTATTTGTGCAGTGAGTTTTGGAATTCAGGTGGTGTCAAACCAGATTGTTTCAACAGTGTGGATGCAGCTGGGTCCTCTGCTTGTTTGGAGAATAGGATTTCCTTCTAACAGTCTTTTAAAACACAGAGAAATCACTTCCCCACTTGGCTGTATCCGCACTGCGTAAACAATCCAGTTTGACAGCACTTTAAGTGCTATGGCACAATACTATGGGATGCTGGGTCTAGCAGTAGTTGGTTGTGGCATTGGAGCTCTCTGACAGAGAAGGCTAGACATCTCACAAAACTACTGTTCTCAGAACTTCACAGCACTGAGCCGTGGCAGTTAAAGCAGTGTCAAACTAGATTATTTCTGCAGTGCGGATGCAGCCTTTGTTTAATGACTGCAAAGAGAGGAAGAGAGGCACCTTTTTAAGGGAAGAGCAAGACCCCCGAGATGGGGCTTTTCTCCCACCTCTCCCTCCCTTCACACACATACACACTTTTCTTCAAAACCATCCCCTCTTTCATCCTGGCCAAGGGGGGAAAAGTCCCTCAGACCTTAGCTCTATCCACACTGGAGAACTAATCTGGTTTGACAGCGCTTTAACTGGCCTGGCTCAAGGCTATGGAATTCTGGGAACTGTAGTTTGTTGTGGCACCAGAGCTCTGCAACAACAACAAACTACAGTTCCCAGAATTCCATAGCCTTGAGCCAGGCCAGTTAAAGCGCTGTCAAACCAGATTAGTTCTCCAGTGTGGATGCATCCCTTATATGCTGGAGAGGTAGAGGAAAGACAGCCCCCTCAGCATCTTCCTAGGCAAGTTGGTGGTCTATGAGGCAAAGGGAGGTAAGAGGGGAGGAGGCCTGGCTGGCGGGCAACCTGGGCTCTCCAGC